ATAAATAAACTTTTATTTTTATACTGGTTTACTTACAAAGTTAGCATACATTGTTTTTCACACCGGATCTTTCCCCTTTCCTTTACCCACCCCTCCCTCCACCCATCAAACTGTGCGACCCTGTGATTACTCCCCTGCCCGCCACCCATCCTCACCCCTCTGCTCCCACCATCCCCCACCTTGGATCTTCATACACAGTTTACTAGTTATCTTTCTATTTCTACAATAATGGTCTTATACAATATTTGTTCTTATGGGACTGAGTTAGTTCACTCAGCATAATGCTCTCTGATCCCAAGTTAGGTAGTGATTTTCAAAGTCATTGCTCCTGCATGCTACATAGTATTCCATCGTGTGAAGTATACCACAACTTCTCAATCCATTTGATTGTAGTTGGACATTTGGGCTGTTTCCATGTTCTTGCGATGGTGAATAACACTGCTGTACAAATCTCTATTTGTGCCTCAGTGCTAATTTTCTCAAAACACCACAACTTTTGCAAACAGTTCTGGACCAGGTGACTTGTAGAAGTAGATGCGGCAGCATGGAGGACCATGTCTTACCAGAGGATTGGTTTCTAGACTGGATGTTATTGATGGGGACAGTTCTCCTTTGTTAACTGTGATCAGACTTGGGCCTCCCCACATCGCATTTGCTTCTTTTACAGACTCATTGACCCCAATCACTCACTTCTGGCCCCCTGTCCTCCCCACCTTTTCCCCATCTCCTGGTCCACCCTGCTGATTGACAGCCTATCCTAGCCTCAGCCCTGGATTACATTTGTCACCTGGTCGCAGGCTCCCTGGGGCAGAAGTAGTCTGCCTCGTTCCATGAAGGTCTAGCTCTTCCCACTCCAGCAAATGCCTCCCATGGGGTGATCCCTTCATTTGTGAAATGGGGCCCTGGGTACCTCATTTTCGTAGGGTGGTTGTGGATCCCATGAGATGTGGGGTGAGGAAACAAGGTGAGAGAGCCCATTTTTATGCATCAGATTAGAAAAGATTCTTTTAAATAATACTCAGTGCTTGTGAGCAAATAATGAAATGGACCATTTTCACATCCTGATAAACTACTGGGAGTAAAATATTTATGGGGGTGAGGAGGTCATTTAAAAGTATGCATCAACTTGCACTGCAAACCCAGAGGTACGCAGTTCAAATCCACCAGATGTTCTGCTGGAGAAGCAGGGGCAGTCTCCTCCTGTGCCAGTCAGATCCAATTTAATGGTACATGCACAAAAAATAATAAAATATAATTTTTTAAAAGTATGCATAAAATGTGTAGGCAAATCTATGTAGACAGCACTCAAATTAGAGGCTGTCCAGGGCTTGGAGGAGTCCTAAGTGGTACAAATGGTTAGTGAGTGTATTCACTTACTAACCAAAAGGTTTGGAAGTTCAAGTCCATTCAGACACACCTTGGCAGAAAGGGTTGGTGATTGATTTTTAAAAAATCAGCATCACGGGAGCTCTGGTGGCCTAGTGGCAAGACACTGCACTGCAATCCCAGAGGTATGCGGTTCAAATTCACCAGATGCTCTGCTGGAGAAGGAGGGGGCAATCTCCTCCTGTACCAGTCAGATCTGATCTGACGGTACACGTAAAAATAATACAATAAAAATTTTAAAAAATCAGCATCACAAGCTCTTTGGAGCGCAATTCTAAGTTGACACATATGGGGTTTAGGGCTGGAAGGGTTATTATTGTTGTTAGGTGTCTTCAAGTCAGCTATAACTTATAACAACTATGTATGAACAACAGATTGCAACCTTGCCCTGTCTGTGCCATCCTAACAATTTCTGCCAGGCTCAAGTCCATTGTTTCCATTGACCCTCCACTTCTCCCATCACCACTTTTCCAAGGACCGGCCCCTCCTGACAACATGTCCAAAGGACGTGAGGCCAAGCTGCATCACCCTCGCTCCTAAGGAGCACTTCTCCCAAAACGGATCTGTTGGTTCTTTTGGCAGCTGACTCAGTACTCTTTGTGAAGACTGTATTCAACACTTTGTGTATAGAGTATATTCAATACTCTTCGCAAACCCAATTCAAAGGCATCAGTTCTTCAGTCTTCCCTGTTCACTGTCCCACTTTAACAGGCCTATGAAGCAATTGAAAATACCATGGTGGAGCTCTCTGGTGGCATAATCCCTAGGAAGCTGTGCTGCTAACTCGAAGAGTGCATCTCTGAGATCCAAATCCATCAGCAGCTCCTGGAAGAAAGATGGCAATCTCCTCCTGTGTGAATTATCACCTTGGAAACTTGCAGGTCAGGGATGAGTCAATTATACCTAACGACAATGAGATGGGTCAGCTGCAACTTGTTGTTATGTGCTGTCAAGTCACCTGAGACTCATAGCGGCCCTATGTACAACAGCCCTAAACCCTGTTCTATGCTGTGCCAATCTCACTAATTCTGACACACCTACCCTCATTACCCTAGTCACTGAATCAATCCATCTCATTCAGGGTCCTCTCCTGAGCTGTCCCTCCACCCTCTCAAGCATGACGTCCCTCTCCGAGGATTGGTCCCGCCTTGGAGCACGTCCATTGTATGTCAGACGAAGCTTCAGAATCCTTGCCTCCAAGAACCAGCCTGGCTTCACCCTCTCCAGGACAAACTTGTTTGTTCTTCTAGCAGTACATGGTATATTCAATACTCTTCTCCAACACCATATTTTCAAAGGCATCAATTCTCCTTCTATCATCCCTCGTCATTGTCCAGCTCTGATACATAACAAGTGATTGCAAAGACCATGGCCTGTCTTTATTTAAATTGACATCCTTGCTTTTTAGCACTTTAAAGATGTCCTTGACAACAGATTTGCCCAATGCAACAAGTCTTTTTTATTTTTCTTTAGTGACAAAAATTTATATTGAGTTACCCACTGGACTCAGTTTAAATTATCCCAATTTCATTGGCAACATCCAAAGCATCATAGCAAGCTGAACATAGGCCTTCTTCTCTCCATCAGGCCTAATCAAGATGTTGACCTTGGACACATCAATGTCACAGAGCTTCTTTACAGTTTGTTTGATTTGGTGCTTGTTGGCCTTGACATCCACAATGAACACAAGTGAGTTATCATCTACCTTCTTCATGACTGACTCAGTGGTCAGGGGAAGCTTGATGATGGCATAGTGGTCAAGCTTGTTTCTCCTGGGGGTGCTCTTCCAGGGGTATTTGGGCTGCCTTTGTGGTCTCAACATCTTAGGCTGCCGGAAGGTTGGTGACATGTGTATCTTCTTTTTTGGTGATTGTGGATGCCCTTTAGGATGGTCTTCTTTGCCTCTAACACCTTTGCTTTGGCTTCAGTTTTGGGAGGGGCAGGGGCTTCCTTCTTCGCTTCCAGTGCACCATCTTCGTAGAAAGGGTCTCTCGTCTTTTGATTTCTTGACTGCTGCTACCATGGCTGCTGACTGTGGATTCAAGTAACATGAAATCTTTGACAACTTCACACTTTTCTCCTTCTATTATTATGTTGCCTGTTTATCCAAGGATGAACATTTTTGTTATTTTGATGTTGAGATGTAATCCGTACTGAAGGCTGTAGTCTTTAATCTTCTCCGGCAAATGCTTCAAGGCTTCTTCATGCAAGCAAGACTGTGTCATCTGCATAATCAGGCTTAGGGGTGGGGAAGAAATGAGCCAATAAGTTTGGATTTCTTTTGGGGGTGATGAAAATGCTCTGGAATGAGACTGTGGGGTGGTTGCACAACTCTGTGAATATACAAAAATCCACTAACTCATACTCTGTAGATTAGATAGTGGATGAGCTACAACTCAGTAAAACTGTTTAAGTACCCAAGTTTATATAAAGCTTGTTTGTTTCAGCATCATTTATGTTGCTAAACAATCCAAACATCCAGCAATAGAGCACACATCTAGCTCCTGCTGACCTTGAACTCTCTGACTAAGTCAGATTTTCGGTGGCAACGCACTTTCAGCTCCAAGAGCTCAAAGTGGATCACTCCTGTCCCTCACAGGCTCAATCACATAGTGCTGGCCAGGGGACCTCTCGTCCACCCTTCTCCTACTCTCCATCTAATGATCTTCCAGAAGGGACGTCCATGACCCCAATCTAAACCAATCAGCACACTGTAACCTCTGGCCACCATGCTTGGTTCAGAGTGGGCACATACCTAAGTGGACCAAGTCAGAGTACATCTAAAATCTCTGGAGGGATGCTAAAGCAGGGACCAGGGAACCAGCTTCCACCTGACACTCATCCAGGGGCCAAAAGGAAAGCCCTTCAGGCTAAACCACCAGTGAATTACCACAAAGCTGGAGATGAGCAAACTGACGTCTAATCTGAACACGGATTAGCCCTTGCCTGAAGCCACTTCTCGGCTGTTTGTTCATGAGCCTCTTATTCTGTTTAAGGAAGTCTGGGCTGGATTTTCTGTCACTTACAACCAGGGAATTCCTTCTGTGATCCATGACACAGCTGTTAAAACACTGCCAAGATGAAAGTTGGACCACGACCTCATCCTGGAAGTGGTCTCCCTAGTCCTCCCCTCTGGGGCTCTGCACACACCCCCACCCACAAAGTCACACATGGACACGGGCACCTCACGGCACTGGGTGGACTTTTATTTTAAAGTCAAAGGCACAGCCTGGAGAGGCTGAAGCAGAGACAGACACGAAGGCCCAGCCCAGACCCCCGAGGCTCTGCCCCTCAGCCATGGGCAGCTGTGCCTGAGGGGAAGGATGGGTGAGAAGGGAGCCTCCCTTTTAGGGGGTCCCTGCCTCTTGCCTTAGCCCCAGCAGGGAAGAAGCAGGTGACCTAAAGCGAAGCACAAGTGCTTCGGGTCCCCAGGGTCTCTCCTTCAATCCCTCAACACAGGTCTTTGGTGGATGGCATTGCACAAACAGTCCGTAAAGTGACAGCTTGGGGGACCCCCCCCAGGAGTAGAGTCACAGGGAAGGAGCCCCATTACTCCTCGTGGCAGTTCAGTGCTTAGAAATGCGGGAGGGACCCTTCCCTGCAGGCCTATAGGGGAGGGCTCACAGACGTGCCCACTCCCTGCCAGGACCCCTCCTTCCCTGCATCTCTATCTACATTGTAAGACATAAAAAATTCTCTGCTTATAAAAATACTTCTGCTCTGTCAGGGAGCAAGGGCAAAGGAGAGGCCAGGACAGCGCCTGGGGACCACGGCAGAGCCGCTAGTTTAGACCTGGAGCCGGGGAGCCGGGCTCCCAGGCCACAGATCCTAGAAGGAAAGGGGGTCACAGTGGCGAGGGCTAGGAGGGAGGCAGGGGGCCATTGGTGCGGCGCTGCGGCCCCTTGCTGGCGGGGGCCCGTCCAGGGGCTGTGGGCGCAGGGGAGCCCCGGCGGGAGGCGGTCGCGCTCCGCAGCTTCTGCTTGCGCCGCTTGGCCAGGGGCGCGTTCTCCACGCTCTTCAGGAAGAAGCCCTCGCGCTTGCCGCGGTTGAATGCCTAGCAGAAGGCAGAGGATAAGTCCCTGGGGCCTGACCGGCTCCCACATCCTGGCTGGGCCTCAGATCCTGGCACCCCCTTTGTCTCATCAAGTCAAGGCCAATTCATCTTCGACTCCCAAGTTTGGGGCCCAGGCCCGCCAGAGGCGCCGCCTCCGAGCTCTGTCCCCGGCCCCACGTCCACCCGGCCAAGGCTCGCCCTCACCATGAAGGTGGCATTGAGCCCGGAGCGCACAGCGGGTCCCGAGGACTCCAACACATCGGGTGTCCGCAGTGGGGGCGAGGAGCGCGCGCTGCCGTCCTGCAGCCACGAGCTGGCCCGCAGCTCCTCGAGCTTCAGCCGCTTGGCAGGGTCCACGGTCAGGAGCCCTGGAGTAGGGCCGGGAGAGGTTAAGGAGGTGCCCCTGAGAGGCTCCAACAACCCCGCACACTGCTGCCCAACCCAATCCACAGCCAAGAAACCAGGACGCATGGCCTTGCGGAGCTCAGGCTGAATTCCACGGCCTCTCCCTTCCCAACCACGCGGCCCAAGCCCTCCAGCTCCGCACCTCGAACCAGCTCCTTGGCTTCCTCCGACACCCCCTGCCAGGCCTCCCCATCCAGGGAGAAGCGGCCCTCGCGGATCTTGCACATGATCTCAGCCGCCTGGCTCTGCCCGCCCTGGCCTGAGGTCCCCTGGAAGGGGACTTGTCCTGACAGCATCATGTACTACAAGAGATGTGGGGAAAGTGTGAATGCCAGGCAGAAGGGCGAGGCAGGACAGCAAGCTGACCCTTCGGCCTACCCTCGCGGTTAAAGTGATTTCTGATGTCCACGCGTGATTACGCCTGGCCTCTAACTCCCGCACACAGGGAGGCCCCACATCCCACCACCAAAAGGCACCCTGCCTCTGGTTTAGGATGAGCCTTGACAATTAAGCCTGGCACCTCGACCAACATACTCCCTGCCTCGGACCACCCTGCACCGAGATGCCCGGCCCTTGCATCAAAGAGACTCTTGACCAGTGTCTGGTGACCCTGCACTCACTTAGCCCCCCCCCACACACACACACACCGCCCCACCACATACCAAAATGACGCCGAGGCTCCAGAGATCACAGGACTCGTCGTAGCCCTGCTGTGCTAGAAGCTCGGGGGCGGCGTACTGCAGCGTGAAGCAGGGCGTCTGCATGGGCCTGGTGGGGCTCTGCGGCCGAAGCCGCGCGAAGCCGAAGTCGATGATCTTCACCTGAGCGCCCAGCGTCTCATCCGCGTACAGGATGTTCTGTATGGCAGGGCGCGCAGTCAGGTGTGCAGGGACTGCCCCGAGGATGAGCCCCGAAGCCCCGCCCCATACCCCCAGGGCGTGACACGAAACCACGCCTATTACTTTAAGCCCCGTCCCCGCCCCCAGGACACGCCCCTGAGACTAGGTCAACAGACCTATCCCGAAGCCCCGCCCCCAAACTAGCACGTCCCTTAAGCCCCACGCCCCCGCCGCAAGGACGTGCCCCGGAAGCTCCACCCCACTGCAGGACTAATCCCTCAAAGCCCCGCCTCCACCGTAGGACACGCCCCTAGTCTCCACCCTCGCCCCGCCCACCTCAGGCTTCAGGTCGCGGTGCACCACACCCGCCTCCTCGTGCATGAAGCTCACAGCCGACACGAGGCTGCGCAGGATCTGGCTCGCCTCCGACTCGCTGAAGTGCCTCTTCTTACGGATGTGCTCCAGCAGCTCCCCGCCCCGCAACAGCTCCAGGACCAGGTAGGTGTGCAGCTGCGGGAGGTGCCGTGACCACCGTCACCATGCAAGGATCCAGGCTGAGCCCCACCCACTACCCAAAATCCGATCACCGGCCAAGTCCTACCGGCCAATCAGGGGGAGAAACAGCTAGGCCACGCCACGACATCCTTATTAGCATTCATCTAGACTCCGCCTACTAATCAGGCCCCACCCACCAATCAGGCCCTCCCTTCTGGTCGGCCCCGCCCCCTGTCCCTAATTCCACGTCAAAGACCATTCTTGAGCCACACCTGAGACCGCAGGTAAGTTTTCCAAGCCTCGCCCCTTTAATCAAATTCAAGCCTCACTCCTATCAAATGCTACCCAACATCCTTCCTCAGCCCCATCTTCCAATCCTCAGCCCCCCCTTTCTTCCCCCCCTATCTTATCTCCTCTGCCTCCCACTCCCTCTGACTCCACTTACCAATCAATCCTCAAGCCCAGCCTCCTGCCTGCCTGGCCCGCCCCCCCCCCCACGTACCGCCTCTTTTTCCCCACTTGCACGCAGCCCCAGTGAGGCGTCACCTGGTCCTGATGCACCTCGTGCAGCTTCACCACATTAGGGTGCGACTGGCACAGCCGCAGGGCAGTCACTTCGCGCTGCGTGTTCGCCTCCAGCCTAGAGGGTAGAACAGAGGACTGTCAGGGCCCAGGCCCCTGACCCGCCCTCCAGGACCCCATTCAAGATCCCTGCCACCCAGCCCACCTTCGGCTGAGGATCTTGACTGCGAACTCCTGGCCACTCTGGCGCTGGCGGCAGCGGCGACACACAGAGAAGCTCCCCTGGCCCAGTGCAGGCTCCCGCAAGTCCAGTTCGTACTGCTGGAAGAAGGGCGAGTCCTGGAGGCAAAGGGTTTATGTTCACCGAGGCCACGCTGCAGGCACCTACTGGAGCCAGGCCAGATTCCCCCGGAGCCCAGCCCCACCCCCACCCCCACCGCAGCCCAGCCCACCTGCATCATGGCGCTCCTGGCCACAGCCGCCCGGCCTGGCCTGTCTCCTGAGCCAGGAGCTTCCAGCACGTCGGTCATCACAGCGTTGTTGTGGTCAAACAGGATAGATGGTGCCACAAAGGAGTATCCCTGGAGGAGAGGGGGCAGCGTGGGTGGAGAGCTGGGGACTGGGGTGCAGGTAGGGTCACACAGGAATGTTGAGCACATTTTACTCTACCTGATTTTTCAAGAACGTAGCCCCATGGCAGCTTCCCACCGGACTGCCCTCCCACTTTTCTCAACACAGCACCCTGCAAACACCAAGGGCTGCATCTGGACCAGCTTGGAAGCCCAGGGAACAGGGACTGGATGTGTGGGAATCTAAGACCAGCTAGCTTCTCTTACAAAATCTGCCCCCACCTGCTGTGGAGAAGACAAAACCCCTGCCTTGCCTTCACATCAGCTGTAAGAAGGATTGTTGAGGAACTGCAGAGAGAGCGAGCCTTCTGAGGACCCCTTCCTGAGGACCCATGTCCTGGCCACTTCAGAGACTTGCAAGGGTTACTTTAATTATGTGTTGTTTTCTCAACGAGCATGTGAGCACCAGGATGTGAGCTCCATGGAAGCAAAATTTTGTTTGGTTGGTTCATTCACCTGGCATACTACAGGCCCTCAATACACCGATTTTAATCATTAAGAGACATAACCTAAGTAACCATGAGTTCACAAGAAAGAACTTTCTCCTCAAGGACTTTCACCAAAGAACTACTTGACTGATGACTCGAACCACCAACTCCACTCCCCTGAGGCCAGAAGCACTAGATGGTGCCTGGCCTCCACACCATCTCTGATCACAACTACTATAGAAGATCCTGAACTGCGGGAATAGAGAATAAAAGTCAAAATCATAACATTTTTTTAAAAAGACCAGACTTCCTGCCCTGATAAAGAATGTGGCCCTCGACACCCTTCAGGCTGGGGAATCCACCCCAGGAGGTCAGCCTTCAGCCAACAGACAGGCTTAGAAAATGAAGATCACACCAAGAGGAAGGTACTCCTCTATGTAGTTAACCATAAGAGGCCAAGGGCAGCAGGGGCCCCGCAGACAAAACTCATCCGGCAGGACAAAAATAAACAAACAAATGCAGGAAGTGGCAGGAAAGAAGGTCAAGTGGAAACATGGAACCCAGAGAAGGTGTGTGGACAGTCTTGTTACCTTGAGGGAATTGAACTGACCTCATAATACAAAATGCACATAAGCTCATGAATCCAAATTGTTCTGTAAACCTTCACTTAAACTATAATAAAAAGTCAGAAAGAGAGAAAAAGAACACTTTCTCATTAAGACTGTGATGCTTAGTGCAACGATGAATGAATAAAAACCCAAAATCTCTGAAAATTGTTCATTAAAATTAATAAAATTTAATAATAAAAAAATTTTAAAAGGTTGGCAGCAAGATAACAATCACTCAGTCAAAACAGTTTCCAAAGAGATGTGCTCATAGGAACTTCAACCTTAAGCCTCCCATGTTAAGCCAATGTTACCAAAGCTTTCAGTCTTGTCAATTATGGCTATCCTCTAGTCTTCCAATAAACTTAGGCAAAGGATCTTAAAAAAAAAAGAGGGGGGAAAAAAAAGACTGTGATGCTAGAAATGAAAGCCACCCAGCGAGCTGTCACTTCTGGGAACTTCATAAAGGGAACAGACAAATCCATTCTGGATATTGGTCTACCCTTGTTTAATACTCACGGAGCATTTCCTACAGGCGGGGCCATACCCTGAACATTAAACACAAAGTCCCCACCTAGGAACTTCCTGACTCAGTCAGCCTGTCAGGGTTCAGTGTGCTAAATGCTGGGAAGGAGGTGCCTTCTGCAAAGGTCTGAAGCATGAGAGAAGGGGCACCCCGTGGGCCAGGTTAATCATGGAAGGCTTCCTACAGGCAGCAGCTCTGGACACCAGGCCTGAAAGGTGAGCCAGAACTGCAGGTGGCAGGAACAGCATGTGCAAAGGCACAGAGGAACTTCAGCGCTGCTGCAGCATCCAGTGAGATATTGTTGAGCACCCAGACTACAGCTCTGAGCAAGGATTACCTCATGCAGGGTCTCGAATGCTGAGCAAAGAACTTGTCCAGCAGGCCTGGGCTTCTCCCCCCAGAGGAGGAAATGTGAGAGGGTGTGCCGCCAGGTGTTCAAAGTCACGGTGCAAACCTGGCTCCTCTTAATTATCTGCTTAAGCAAGTCAAAATGCAAACTCACTGCCTCCAACTCAGGTCTGACTCATTCTGACTTTCCAGCAGGGTTCAGAGATCATAAATCCCAAGGAGAGGAGACTTTCTCTCAGAGCTACTGGTGAATTCGAACTGCCCTCGACTCACAGAGGGAAACATCGATAGTTCTGTAACAGTGTTCAGAACTTTTGTTCATAGGGTCGTACTCAACTCAATGGCATTAACAACAGACTCACAGTGCAACTTGCCACAGACTATACCATCACTGTGCTGCCAAAGTCTCTATGGGAAAGCTTGGGAGGCAGAGCCGGGCGGCAGAGTTGCTGGCTGCAGCCACCCCAACTAGAGTCACTCAGCTGTCGAGGGGAGACGGGAGAGGATGGAGGCAGAAGGGGCCAGGGCTGCAAAAAGGTTTGCTATGTGGACATCAGGAAGAAACAGGATTAGGATGTGCCCTCGTGGGGTTGTAGTTAAGTGCTCAGCAGTTCGAATCCACCAGCTGTTCTGTGGGAGTAAGATGTGGCATCTACGTCTGTTAAGATTATAGTCTTGGCAACCCCCTGGGGCAGTTCTGCGTTGTCACATGGGGTTGCTATTAATTAGAAGCTACTTCACTCAATGGTATTCAAAGATAATAACAAGCATAAAGAGGGGTCTTTATATTTTTTTTTAAAAAAGAAGAATAATAAGGAAACCTTGGTGCCAAAGTGGTTAAGTGCTTGGTTGCTTTCTAACCAGGTTCAAACCCACCAGCTATTCCACAAGAGAAAAATATGGCACTAGGTTCCCATAAATACTACCACAATGGAAACTCAACAGGGCAGTCTGTTCTGCCCTCTGGGGCCTTTATGAGTCAGAATCGGTCAACAGCAGCGAGTTACTTGAGCAATGTGATCCTGAGCCAAACGTGGAGCTAACAAGGAGGCGGGGAGACACTGAGACCCCGTCCAGGCACGGGGCCTGTACAGTGGTCACAGGTCCAGCCAGAGTCTCCCCTGCACCTGGCTCCATGCACTCCCACTCACCTGGAAGACGCGAGGGTCCCCGGGTGGAGGGCTGCCAGAAGGCGAGTAGACAGGCTCCAGCCGGGTAAATTCCTCTGCAAAGTTGCCCACATCCAGCTCCGAGCGGATCTGGGGCCGGAATGGGGCTGGAATCTTCCTGGCAGCCAGAGCAGCCCAGTCCAGACCCTGGAAAAAAAGAGTCAGAGATCGGGGTTAAAGGAACTGGGCTCAAGCTGCCCTCACCTGGGGAAGGGTCTGTCTGGGCTCTTCAGCCTCCCCAGCACCCATTCCCCTCTTTCTTGAAAAAACTCTAACTCATTGCCTTCAAGTTGAAACCAACTCCTAGTTGACCCTCCAGCAGGTTTTCAGAGGCTGTAAGTCATATGGGAGGAGACTGCCCTTTTTTCTACAGAACCACTAGTGGATTTGAACTGACAGAGATGCACCATCTTTGGGTTGGTAGGACAGGTCCCTCTGGACTAGGCCACCAGAGCTCTTCCTAGGAGCAGAATCCCTGCTTCCCTTGGAGAATCACTTCCCAATCAACTCTAGAACTTTAAACAGAATTAGTGTGAAAAATAAATTTCTCTTTCCCATATGACTTAAAACTGGGAGATGTGAGCCTGGAACTGCAGGGGGACCCTCAGGGGATCATGATGAGGCCTGTAAAGAAAAGCAGAACCAAGAGAAAAAAAGATCACTACGGACACAATTTGAGCACCTTGATACAGCCTTGCCTGAGGTCAGGCCCGTTCCTTGGACTTTTATGCCCTTTTATGTTTAAGTCATCATGGCAGGGCCTGTTCACTGCGAGTCCAGTATCCATCCATCCTCGTCTTCATTTGTGCTGTAATCCCAATTTCATTCCAAAACCTCAAACTCACTGCTGTGGAGTCAGAACCGACATAGAGCAGAGCCTCCAGCAAGTTTTCAGCAGCTATAAATCACACAGGAGGAGATTGCCCATCTTTCCTTCCTGAAACCATTGATGGACTCAGAAGCACAGCCTTTGGCAGCACAACACTCTGTGGACTAACCACCAGCATGCCCTAATTTCATTCCAAGCAGCAATACACACAACTAAAGGCATATTTTATAAACTTCCTTGCAATAAGAGTTAACAATAACTTATAAACAAAAATTGTGAGGTAAACTACCAGACCCTCAAAAGGGAGACAGCAAGCACTTTTCTTGCCCTTCTAAATCCTTCTTCTTTCCTGTCTGGAAAGCAGCCTAGATGGCAAGAGCTTCAGCAGCTGTTGTGCGCCATGAGGCAACCCTGGGGAGGTAGCTTCCATACTAAGAATGAAGAAGCACAAGGAAAAAAGATTGTGGATTCCTGACAGTACAGCAGCCCTAGCCACCAACCTCCATACTTTACATGAAAAGGGGGAACCAAAAACCTCTTTTGTTTAGGCCTCTGTTCATTCCAGCCTCCATTAAAATATAGTCCCACAGATCTCATGGTTTTTACTTAGGCATTCTGTCACTTAAAGTCACGAAGACTGAGCCCAGCTGAAAGATCCCAGTGCTTCCTCCAGGGATCTCAGCATCCCTGTCTCAACAAGACAGACTGACACAGCAACTGTAACAATGGGTTTGTGCCTGTCAGAGACGGTGACAATGGCACAGGATAGGGCAAAGTTCAGCTCTGTTGTTCACAGGGTCGCTATGAGTCATTATTAACCATGGCACCTAACAACAGCATCTCCAAAGAAAATAAGGGAGCAGCCCTTTCCAGTAGGAGGCTGTGAAGGCCTCTCTCATGGGCAGGTCCACCTGCTCCCAGCACTCAGCCCAGCGCCTGGCACGCACTCGGGCTGGATTTGAGGAACTCATGGAAGGAAAATGACATTTCTCAACCACTTCCCCCCTGCAAAGGGACATTTTCACCACACAGATTTAGATTTCTGTCAGAAAACAAATGTCCCGCAGTCCTTCTGAGTGGTACTTGCTGGGGAGACTCAAGGAAGCCGAGTTTAGACAGCAGGTCAGGATGCCTGTTGGTAGGTCCATCCTGACTCCTCTTGACCCCATACTCAGCAGAATAAAGCTGCTCGATCCTGCCCCAGCCTCACATCTCTGTACTGTGCCCCTCTATCTCATCAAGGATCTCTCTCTCTCACTGGCTCACTCCTTTTCCAAGCATGACAGCCTTCTCCAGGGAATGACCCCTCCTCACAACACGCCCAAAGCGAACTTCTTCCAAGACAGATTTTTTTTCATCTTTCTGGCAGCATCACAATTCAAAGGCATTACTTCTGCCCCAGCTTTCCTTATTCGTTGTCCAGTGTTCACATGCATATATGTGATGCCTTCAGTCAGGCACACCTTAGTCTTCAAAGTGACACCGTTGTCGTGTGCCGTTGAATCAGAATCTACTCATAGCTGACCCTCCAGCAGGTTTTCAGAGGCGGTAAATCACAGGGGAGGAGCTTGCTCATCCTTCTCCCATGGAGCAGCTGGTGGATTCAAACCATGAGCCTTTGGGATTGCAGCACCTTAGCAGTAGGCCAACAGAGCGCCCTTCAAAGTGACGTGCTGTTAGATTAGATACTGATGAGTCGAGTATGACTCACAGCGACCCTAGGAACAACAGATCTGAACCCTGCCCTATCCTGTGCCAGCCTCACAATCTCCGACACACTCAAGTCCAAGTGGCATAGTGGCCCATTAAGAAAATCCAATCCAGGGGAGCTCTGGTGGCCTAGTGGCAAAGAGCTGCAACTACAATCCCAGAGGAACACGGTTCGAATCCACCAGATGCTCTGCCGGGAAAGGAGGGACAATCTCCTCCTGTACCAGTCAGATCTGATTTGACGGTACACTCACACAAAAATAAAAAATAAAAAAATTTAAAAAAAAATCCAAACCCACTTCCATCCAGTCGATTTGGACTACAGCTGCCCTTGTGTTAGAGCGAGCTGTTTCACAGAGTGCCCTGAGCTGTGACCTTTATGGAAGGAAGATTGCCCCTCCACCCGGGGACCTAATCAATGACCATAACTGGGTGCCTTTGTGACCCTATCAAACAAGTGGCAGACAGAAGAATGCCATAGTTAAGAATGCAGGTCTTCCAGCCCTGAGACCTGAATCCGATCTCCATCACTTCCTCGCTGAGGGAGTTTGGGCCAATTACATAACCTCTCTGAACCTCAGCTTCCTTAGCTGTAAGGGTGGGGAGGGTCAAGGTGGTTCACAAGAGCTCCCTGCCCCACAGGTCAGCGGGAATGGTGCTGGCTGCATACAACACACAGGAAAGTATGGTCTCGCTGACCCGCCGTTCTCCCAGAGTCAACTCCAGCTTCAGCCTGGGGGGCAGAGTAGAACTGTCCAAAGGGTTTCCATGGCTACCAGTCTTTATGCACACAAGCAGCTGCTGGGTTCCAACCGGCACGCTTTTAGTTAGCAGCCAGATCCTTTAACTGCTCCATCACCAAGGCTCCTCTTTAACCTCCCAGGAGGCACAACCCACTCTGCACTGTCCTCACACACTGACCCGTCACACTGCATCCTAACATTTGGGAGAAGCCCCAACTTACACACACTTGCTCTCCGGGAGGTGGTCTGGGTGAAGGGACATGGACCAAGCTCAGACCTACTTCTAAGAGCCCCCCCCCCAAGCCAGAGCAGCAGCTGGGCCTAGATGGCCAGAGCAGGGAGGTATGGGAGCGTAAATCTGGAGCCTCACCTGGAAGAAGGGGTGGTTCTTGACTTCCTGCGCCCCCTGTGGCCCCGCGCCCAATCGTTTCTTGGGGTCTTTACAGAGCAGCCTCCGCAGCAGGTCCTGCGCCACAGGCCCGATCCGGGGAGGGAAGGGAGGGGAGCACTTCAGGATCCGTCTGAGAGGATTGGGGGGGCGTCAGGGGCCGCGAGCCCCCCCCCAAGCCCTGCCCAGGCAGGCCCCTGGCCCTCAGCCGCCTCCACGTCCAGCCTTCCTCACCGAGACACCTCAGCCTGCGTGTTCCTCTCGCCCTCCAGGGTGAAGGGCGAGGCCCCCGTCAGCAGCTCGAAGAGCAGGATGCCCAGGCTCCACCAGTCCACGGCCTGCCGGGGAGGAGCCGATGAGCATCTGCGCTGCCCCCAGCATGCCCACCACCCGCTCCACTGCCGGCCCACCTTGCCATGCCCCGACTTGCTGCGGATGATCTCGGGGGCCATGTACTCGATGGTGCCACAGAACGAAAAGGTCCGTTCTTTCTGAGAAGGGAGAGACACATTTAAACAACCACGGCCTTGCCCATGGCCCAGCATCCAGAGTGAGGACTTGGAGAGGGGAAGCAGCGCATCCAGAAGGCAGGGTCTGGGTCCATTCACCTCTGCACCCGGACTCGCAGAGCCGGGGGGAGTAGGAAGAACGAAAGGAGAGGGTGAATGGGGACCAGGTGGGCCTGCCTCACCTCCTCCGTCAGGAATTCTTTGCTCAGCCCAAAGTCCGTGAGGACAATGTGGCCTTCGGAATCCAACAGCACATTCTCCAGCTTCAGGTCCCGGTAGATGATGCCCAGCTGGCAGGACAAGAGGGACACTGAGCTTCCTCCTCAGACATTCCCCAGATCCAGCCTCCAGAGGCTGCCATCCTCCTTAAGGCCCCCCAAAGCTGACCCCCTCCAGCCAGGTCCCTGCTCAGGACAAGAAGACCCTCCGAGAGGAGGTGACTCAGCATGCGGAGGGGCCCCACCAAGAGCGGATGCATTCTAAGGAATGAGGGTGGGAAAGCGGGCCCCAGGAGGGCTCCCCATGGGAGCAGCCCAGGGCCCACAGGAGGAGAGTCTAGTGACGAGCCCAAAGGAGCCCTTGCAGGCGAAGCTTGAGGTCTGTGTTTGAGGAAGTTCTGTGAGAGGCAGCCCCCAGCTCCTGAGCAAGGAAAGCCCCTAACAGGGACACCAGGGGAGGACGCCCCTTTCTTCCACACAAGGCTTCCTCCCAGGAGGCCTGTGAAGCGCCCACCGAAGCCACTAAGCTCCCATGAGGCCCAGGAAGAGTCCCAAGGCCACCTTTTCAGGAAGCCCCTTACAAAGCCCAGACCTGTCCCCATGGCAACAGCCTTGTGGCCAGGGCCTCCTCGCCCACCTTGTGCAGGTGCTCCAGGGCCAGCGTGATCTCGCCCCCGTACACACGCACCTCGGCCTCCTTGAAGTGCTGGCGCTGGTAGAGGTGGGTGAACATCTCCCCACCGCTCACATAGTCTGGGGGATGGATGGAGTGAGGGTCAGAGAGCACCTGTGGGATGGCCACACCTGCATCCAGCCTCCCAGCGGGAGTCGAGGTGCAGCTGTCCTTACCCAGGATGAGGTGCAGCTTGGCGTCAGTCTGGAAGGCGTAGTGCAGGGTAACCAGGAAGGGCGCCTGGCGCACCAGCTCCAGCACCGACCGCTCCGTGCGCGTGTGCTCCTGTGTCTTGGCGCGCTGCACCAGCGCCGCCTTGCGCAGCACCTTCATGGCATACAGCTTCCCCGCGTCGTGCCCGCCCGCCTTCCGCACCAGGAACACCTTCCCGTAGGCTGTGGGGAGCAGCGAGTGGGTGGAGGGGGGGGCCGTGAGCAGGAGGGTGGTGCAGACTGGCGGGGGCGAGGGTGATACCAACCCGGGAGGGTGTGCAAATCTAGCCTGGGAGCTAGGGGTGCCAGGCAGGTGTGCAAAGAGCTGGAAGAGGTGTAGGGAAAGGTGTGCAAAGCCCAGGAGGGTCCTCTGCAAAGCCAGGGCAGAGGTGTGCAAATCAGGCTGGATAAAAGTGCAACCCCAGGAGGCCTGCAGCGCAGGGTGGGGGCTGGGGGTGTGCAAACCTGTGAACGCAGCTCTCAGAGGTGCGGGAAAGCTGTGCGGGGCAGGGCAGGGGAGTTTGCAAAGCGGAGGAGGAGGAAGGAGGTGAGCTGTGCAGATCACTGGGAGGGGTGGTGGCCCTAGAGCCAGTGGGGGACCTGGGGAAGGGATATGCACCCCCAGGAGCTCAAAGGAGGAATCGAGTCCCTGTGGAACAGCCCGGGGACAGAGCATGCAGACCCAGGCAGGGTGGGGCGGGATGGGCAGGGCAGTTATGCCAGGAAAGGGTGGGGGGCCTTCCCGGTGGCCTGGCCCGGGTCCAGGCTGGTTTGGGGCGTGGAGGCCCAGGGCACCGAGCCCGGGACACCTGCCCAGGGGCCGGGGGTCCTCACCTCCCGTGCCCAGCACCTTGAGCAGCTCGAAGTTCTCCACGCTCACCTTCTCCTCGTGCCCGGTCAGGTTGGCTGTGGGCACCGGGGGCATATCAGCCCAGCCGCCTGTGACCCTCCCAGCCCCAGGCCACAGGCACACCGGCTCCCCACCGCCCTGGCCCCACCTTCGGTGATCCGCAGCTCCACCGCGCAGCCCTCGTCCTCGTCCTCGTCGCCCATGGCGGGCGGGTCGCGGGGCCCGCGCTGCTTGGCTCCAGGCGGCGCCGGTTACATGGCGGCTCTGGCCGGGGCGGGCGCTTCCTGGTGCCGCCTCCGGGCCGAGGAGGCACCGCCTCTCCGTCCCCGCCCTGTGCAGCCTGAGTCAGGCGGCTGGAACGTGACAGTGGGAGGCAGGCGGGGGACAGCCCTGCAGGGGCCAGGCACTTGGGGGCTCCATGCTGCACTCCCCGGGATCTGGGACCCGGTGCCTGGGCCCCGATGAGCTTCAGTCTCCTGGGTGCGCACCCAGGCAGGTCATGGCCTCGGATGCTGGCTGAAGCCAAGGTCCAGGACACTAGGAGGTGGGGGGAGGGCCACAACCGGCACCGCAGAGCTCGCCTCCTGGGGACAGCGAGGGCAGGAGCGCATCTTCCCCTTGCGTCCTCAGCCACCACAGAAAGCCAGGACTTCCATGAAAACCACAGCCCACTGACCCCCACTGTGATCACGCTGATCCCCCCAGAAGGGATGGGCTCCCTGGGTCCCCTGAGGGGGGAGCAGCTCCAGGGCACACAGCACCCCTCACCCAGTACCACTCAGGGTGGCTGGGGTGCTGGGAAGGCAAAGAGGTTGTCAGGGTCCTGGAAGCCACCCAGCCCACAGTCAGTGGGACCAATGTGGCCCTAGTCTGTCATCTCCAGCTTCCTGCTTGCACCCCCAGGTGGCCAGGAAACCCCTTTCTCTTGAGGGTTCACTTCTGCAGAGGAAGTATGGAGGAGAGTAAGGACCCAGCCTGGTCCCTGGACTCTGGCCACCAGGACTTCTTAGTGCCTACAGGGGACGCCAGAGGATGGGAGGGCAGGTGTCCGCCTGGCTCTTTCTCCCGGGACAGAAACCCACCCAGTGCTGCCCACCCCGTGATGCACACCGCTCATGCGGCCCTGGCCCCTGGTGTCCTTGCATCTGGTACAGCCTAGAGCCCAGAACTCCCGGCCATAAATACAATTCCCACCTGTACTGACTTCCAATCCTGTTTCTGAGGCTGTAAATCTTTTTTTCTTTTTCTTTTTTAGATTTTAATGAAAGTTTATACTTTGGATTTCCATTTATTATTGCACATTTTCCTCCCTGCCCACCTCTCCTCCCCAGTTCTTTGAAAAGAAAAAAAAAATCTTTTCTTGTTATACAATCCCCCCTCCTTCCAGCCACTTTACTATGCAACTCTTATTCTGGACTTGTCATGAAAATAATTCCTAATCATACACCCCTTTTAAACAGTTCTCTCCCTCATCTGTTCAATGCCATGTACATTATTTTTTTTTTGCCATGTACATTATTTATCCCTTCTTTTCTTAGTTTCCCCCCAATCCCGATGTCAGTCCCCTTTTACAACAGTGGCATTACACGATATTTGTCCTTTTGCGATTGAGATATTTCACTCAGGGTGATTTAAATCTGAGGCACTCAGGCCGTGTTCAAATTGTTTTCCTGTCAAACATTCTTCTAAGTGGTATAGGCCTGGTCTGTGCATTGCTGTACAGAGCTAACTCGTGGTTGCTGTGATGCTGACCACTGGACACTGATGTGCCAAACGTGGTAATGGGTACCCATGGCGGACAGTGTTGGCTAGAGTTTCCCAACTAAATCAAGCCTGGAAGCAGGAGCGGCATCCACTTCCAAAATGGCTTGCCTCCAGAAACTCTATGTACGAACAGTGCTCAGGCCTTTCGTTCATAGGGTCACTATGAGTCGTCTACAACTCAATGGCATATAACAACAACAACGTCTTCCAGGATCGCCCATTTTGTATGAGTTTCTTGTTTTTCAATGCCGCATAGTATTCCATTGTGTGAATATACCAGAGATTCTCCATTCATTTGTTGATGGATTATTTCCAACTCCTTGCTTTTGTGAACAAAGCAGCAATAATCATGGGTGTGCATATATCTGCTTGGGTGGCAGTTTTGGTTTCTTTGGGGTATATTCCCAGTAGTAGAATTGTTGGGTCAAATGGTATTTCTATTTACAACTTTTTTTAAATTTTATTAATTTTAATGAATATTTACAGAGATTTTGGATTTTCATTCATTCATTGTTGCACTTTTTTCCTTACCATACTGCCTTCCATAGTGATTTCACCATTTTACACTCCCACCAACAGTGAATAAGGGTTCCAGTTTCTCCACAACCTCGCCAGCATTTGTTGCTTGCTGTACTGTTAAATTTTGCTATTCTGACTGGGGTGAGATGATATCTCATAGTTGTTTTGGAAGCTGTAAATCTTTGTGGGGGAAAGACTGCTCACCTCCATCACGCTGAGCGGATGGTGGGTTCAAACTGCCAATCTTTTTTGGTTAGCACCCCAATACAGTGCATGCTATACAACCAGGCTGCTTCCAGAGGTTGAGTTACCAACAGGTGTCAGAGCCACGCTGGGGTTCTCTCATCAGAGCCTCTCGTTGACCTGCCCCCAGAGCCGCACCCTCCCCTCCTGCAGCCTCACGGAATCAGGCAACCCCAAGCCTCCACTTTCCTAGGAACTGAGGGGGGGGTGCCTGTGTATTCCCAATGCCGCCTGAGAAGAAATCAGAGGTGGGACTTAACCCCCAGGCAGGGGGTGCTGTTGGTCACCCTGGGAAAGCCAGGTGGCCAGCCCTGGCTCTGCCCACCTCCAGGATGAGGTGCTGCTTCAGCTCAGCCCCAGTGGCCCATGCCATCCTAAGCAGCCCAGGTCCCCTGACCCACACCTGGGCACCAAAACCCGTACCCAGCGCTCTGCCATCAACTCCTCGCAACCGTGCAGGGCACAGCAGGACTGACTGCCTTGGAGCGTTTCCAAAACTAAATTGTCACAGAAATCAACTGCTGTTGCTGAGAAGCTGATGGGTTCAAGCCACTGACCTTGTCCTTAGCACACATGCTCTTTAACCACTGTACCACCAGGACTCCTTCACATCCAACTTCTGGGAGACCGTGGCAGACTGTGGTACTAGATGGCCCCCCTCATCAGCTGTGAGCTCCCTGGGGAAACACAGGACCCCAAAAAGGGGTGGAGGAGAGGACAGGAGAAGATGGGGAGGCATTGAAGGAGAGAAGAGGGTGGGGAGCCTTTAGGAGGAAGGTCAGAGTCAAGGGCTCAGGCCCTGCTCAGTGCTGGAGCAGGCATCAGCTACAACACATACGCACACAACGTGAACATCAGGCTTTGGCAAGCCACCCCGGTGGCTGCTTCCTGCTTTATTTCTACATCCTGCGTGCTGCAGGATGGGCCCAGGTCACGACACCCCAGCGGCGGTCCTCGGTTCCCCACCGGGACCGAGCCAGGGACTCTCTTGTCCACTCCCGACATCCTCCCTCTGCATGATGATCCCCCAGTGACCGCCGCCTTGGAGGGGGCCTCGTGGCAAAGCCCAGGGCCTGGCCAGGAGCGGCTCTCAGGGGGTGGCCATGCCCACTGTCCTCTGGCTCATCCCTGCTCCACGCCAAAACCCCCTTGTCCAAGGTCTCCCCTCGGGTGCTCTGGTTCCTCCAGCTGCTGGGCGGTCGAGAAGCCCCGTTGAGGCCCCCCCAGCGGCGAGAGGGCATTATCATGGCTGTACACGCAGGGTCACTGGCTGAGGGACGAGGCGAGGGGGCGTTTCTCTGGTTCCTCCACCTCGGGGCCTGGAAGAAGAGGTTCAGTTCAGGTCCCTCACTCTGGAGAAACCCCCCCACCCCGCCCTCGAGCACCAGCCCCACCAAGCACATCGCCCTCCTCGCTGGTCTTTGCTTCAGCTGCTCCCCTGACCTGAAACACGAATCCCAGACGGATTCAACTCCCAGCCTACTCCCATCCCACTTCCTCCATGAGGTCAACTTCTCAGCACTCCAAATGAAAGAGCAAGGCCTCTCGCCAGCACCCCTAGTCCTTCACTCTCCACCTCCCCCCATAGTTGTTACTGTTATGCGCTGGCTGCCCCTCTGGCAGGTAACAGAGGCTGTAGCAGCACAGGAGGAGACTGGCCATCTCTTTCTTCTATGGAGCAGCTGGTGGATCCAAACCACCTGTCTTTGGGTTGGCAGCTCAGCTCCTAACCTCTAGAGCCACCAGAGCTCTTCGGAACATTATACCTAATTTTCTAGGTTTGACTCAGTGACTGGGGTAATGGGATAATGCGTGTGTCGGAGATGATGAGGTCGGCTCGGGATAGAGCAGGGTTCAGAGCTGCTATACTTAGGGTTGCTATGAGTCGCAAATGACTCAACCGACACTTAACAATTTCTAGGAAAGAAACCCTGGTGGCATACTGTGTTACATGTCAGGCTGCTAGCCAAAAGGTCGCTGGTTCCCACCCACGTGCCACTCTGAGAGAGAAATCTGGGCTCCGGTTAGGGTTTACAGCCTCAGAAACACAGTGGAGGATCACTGGGGGGGGGGGCAGATCGCTCAGCGGCAGTGGCAGCGGGATGGCTTTGACTTGGGTGGAATATTCTAGAGAGTACCCTGGTGGCACATCAGTTAAGCACTCAGCTGCTGACTGAAAGCTTCGCACTTGGAACCCCCACACAGAGCTCCTTGGAGAAAAGGCCTGGCAATCAAGTCCCATAAAGAGTCCTGTGTTAGGGAGCTCTGGTAGCCTAGTGGCAAGAAGCTGCACTGCAATCCCATAGGTTGCGGTTCAAATCCACCAGATGCTCCGGTGGAGAAGAAGGGGCAATCTCCTCCTGTACCAGTCAGATCTGATTTGACAGTACACACACAAAAAGATAATTTAAAAAAAAAAAGTCGTGTGTTGCATGCCATTGAGTCTGTAGAACAGACTGAATCCCTGCCCCACCCGCACCATCTTCACAAGCTGGGCGAGCCCTGCTGCAGTGCCTGTGGCAATCCAACACATTGAGGGTCTTCCTCCCTCCCACCGACCCTCTCCTCTGCCAAGCAGCTTGTCCTTCTGCAGTCACCAAACCCCTGGCTGAGGTCAAGCCAATTCCTAAATCCCAGTGACCCTGCAGGGCAGGACAGAACTGCCCTCAACCATTCCTAAGACTGACTTCTCCGGAAGCTGACTGCCAAGGCTTCCTCCTCCAGTGCAGCTGCGCATGGCTTCAAACCACCAACCTTCGTGTTGGAACCAAGTACTTAACCGCTGCATCACCACAGCTTCTTCCCCATAAAGGTTACAGCCTAGAAGATCTGGGATGGCTTTTCTCCTCTTTCACGTGGGGTTGCTAAGATTAAAACTGGACACCGTGGCACCTAACAACCACGTCCCAGGGCTCTGGCACCCAGTCCAGGGACCTGGGACCACATGTGGCCACTGAATGGGCAAGCCACCGCCGTCTGAACCGAGCGGGCCTCAGGTTGGAGAGCAACCGCTCAACGTTCAAGATTGAGGATGAAAAACTGTGAACTTACTTAACTACACATTGACATGACATTCTAGGCACAGAGAGTTCAAAAAACTATCACTGAAATGTGTTTCATCTGCTTCCTGCTGCCCTTTCTGGATGAGACTGCGGGGGAAGTACCTCACAGCTGAGCCTCTAGCAGATTTTTTGTTTGTTTCTTTCTTTCTTTGTTTTGTTGGGGGGGGTTTGGGTTTTTTCCTTCTTTTTTTTTTTTTCTTTTCCAGCAGGTTTTTGAGACTGATTTGTGTGGGAGGAGATCGCCCATCTTTGTCCCCAAGAGTCTCTCGTGGATTTGAACCACCAGAGAAGTGTGCCCTTTGGGTTCACAGTAAACTCCCTGTGCAACCAGGCCCCCAGGACTCCCATTTTGGGATGAGGGTACAATGAAATTGGAAATGACACATGTGGACAGCATCACTATTTCTTGACAGGGCACACTGCCTGCTCTCTGTGTCTCCTCCCGGCATGTCCCTGTCACATCCCCAGCCAGCACAGGGACCAGCACTTAGTAAGGACTCAGTGACCATCTACCAAATGAGCAAACCAGACCGATGACGCTGTTGGGGGCCCCGAGTGGAGTGAATCCGCCCTGCCCCCTGCAGCCCCCCTCACCCTCTCTGCTGACGTCTGTTTCATGTTCCGCCAGGGTCTCAACGGAGCCGTCCCATCCCATGCCCGGTCCTAAGAGGGGAGAGACACAGGGGACCGCTGGATCACAAGGACTGAGGCAAAAGTGGATAGATGGGGTTTGTGGGGGACACAGGACCAGAGGAGAGGGTGGGTTCACAGGGGGAGGGGACTAGCAGGGACAGGGACCCCACATCCCTCACCTTTGCCATGGGAGCTGGGTGCCCCCAGGGGCCCTGGGCGCCGCTGTCGGAATCGCTGCCGGGGGGTGTCCCCGGGGCTGAATGACTCTGAGCTTCGACCCACTGGGAACCTTGAGCTGAGTTTTCGCCGTTGCCCAGCTGCCAAGGTTTCATCTTGTAGACACAGGGAGCTCTGGGCCCGGCGCATGGGTGCTGGTGAGGGGAGTCCTGCAGAAGCAGACAGCAGATGGGCTCAGAAACGCACAATTGGGGCCTGTCACACCCAGTGGGGCTCAGAGATGCATGCGCAGGGCCTGGCACACGAAGCGGGGCTCAGAGACGCACGCGCAGGGCCTGGCACACCCAGCGGGGCTCAGAGATGCACATGCAGGCCCTGGCACACCCAGCAGGGCTCAGAGATGCACACGCAGGGCCTGGCACACCCAGCGGGGCTCAAAGATGCACACACAGGGCCTGGCACACCCAGTGGGCTCAGAGATGCACACACAGGGCCTGGCACAGCCAGCGGGGTCAGAGATGCACGGGCAGGGCCTAGCACATCCAGCGGGCTCAGAGATGCACGCGCAGGGCCTGGCACACCCAGCGGGGTCAGAGATGCACACGCAGGCCCTGGCACACCCAGCGGGGTCAGAGATGCACACGCAGGGCCTGGGACACCCAGCGGGGTCAGAGATGCACACGCAGGGCCTGGCACACCCAGCGGGGTCAGAGATGCACACACAGGGCCTGGCACACCCAGTGGGGTCAGAGACGCACATGTGAGGTCTGGTCAGCTGAGGGCCACCACTGGGCTGCAGGGGTGGGGTGAAGTGGCTGTAGCTTCACTGTAGTGAGTGTGGTGGCCCAGTCACCCTCCACGAGCTGGGCCCTGTGCTGGCTCTAACACTAACTCACTGTGACCCTGGACAAGGCGCTCCCCCTCTCTGGGCCACAGTTTCCTCATCTGCTGATAGGAATAGATGGCCTCTCACTAACATCCCCTGCTGGTCAGGTCTCGGGCCCCACGGGAGATAAAGGTGGACAGGGCAGATGGGCTGTGCAGGCAGGGGCTACCCAGCAGGGCCCAGGACAAAGGGGGCTGAGAGCATCCAAGCAGACAGCAGTGGGCAGCAGGAAAGGCCAGCAGACAGGGAGCGGCCAGAGTACAGGCGGAGTCAAAGCGGGGACAAGGTGTTGGTCACCAAGCCCCGAGACCCACCTGTCCCATCTGCCTCCCTGCCCTCGGGGAGCTGGGCCTCCAGGGGGCCCCCCAGGCTCAGGGTGCTACCAGCCCCTTCAGCCAGTGGGCGTGGCCCCCCAGGGGGGCCCCCCTCCCGCCGGGGCCGCATCAGCCTCTTCACCTTGTCTGCCAGCCAGCTGCCCTTCCTAGGGGCAAGAGGGCACAAAAGGGGGTAAGGACGGGAAGAGAGGAGGGACAGGAGGGCCATGTGGGGGATGGCAAACCCTGAGGCTTCCCTGAGCTGGAGGCGAGGCCCAGTAGACACGGGGTGGGTGGGGCGTGGAGGACCAGGCCTGGGGACAGGAGGGCAGCTCACTTGGTCCGGGGCAGGGGCCCAGGCTCGAGTACACGGTACTGGTCCATGATCTTCTCCACCAGCTTCTGTTTCTCTCGACGCAGTGCATTCAGCTGGGCCCTGGGGGGACAGGGACAGGAGGTGAAGCTGGGGGGCTGAAGGGTGACAAGTCAGCACTGCCCGCTCCCCAGGGCACCTCTGCAGCCCCAGCCCTCTTCCTGGGACTGCCCCCAGGGCGCCCCGGCCCTCACAGGTACTCCCGCTGCTCGCGATGCAGGTGGTCCCGGCTCTCCAGGCTGCGTTCCAGGAGCCCCCTGTTCTCCCGGCTCAGAGCCTGCACTTCTGCCAGCAGCTGCCGGTTCTCCTCCTCTTGGGCCCCCCGAAGCTGTGTCAGCAGCTGGGATCAGGGGACAGGCAGCAGGACTGGTCAGCGGGCACTGCTCCCTCCAGCCAGCTTTCCCTCCCACTCAGCCCTGGCCACCTCTGCTCAGACGCACTTCGCACTGTGTGGTCAGCCGGCAGGCGTTGAGGTCCAGCTGCTGGTTGGACTCCCGCAGCCGCTGGCTCTGTGCCTCCAGCTGCGCCCGCTCCAGCTCCAGCCGCGCCAGACGCCCCCGCAGCTCCCCGCGCTCACCCTGCAGCTCCCCGCGTTCCCGGGACACCTCAGCCAGCAGCAGCTGCGCTCTGTGAAGATCAGGAGCTGCTCTCTGAGGGGGCAGCCCCTGGGCTCTCTTAAGAGCCAAAGGACCCTCTCTGGGGAGAAGTGGCAAAACAGGACCCGGAAGGGACAAGGACCCCCACCAGCCCATTTCACAGAAGGGAACCCCAAGGCCCTGCGGGTACCTGTCATGCTCACTCTGCAGCCGCCGCAGCTCTTCCTCCAAGTCCCGCTGCCGATGTCCATCCTGCATCAGGCGCTGCCGCTCCGCCAGCAGGGCAGTCTCTTGGGCCTCCAAGCTAGCCCGCTGGGCCTGCAGCTGCTCATGCCTAAGATAAGTGACGGGCTGAGGGGGTTGCTAGGGCCCTGGCGCCCAGCAAGCACACGCTGGACCCCTGGGGCAGGGGCTGGGGCTGGGGCTGAGGCTGCCACCTACTGTGCATGGGAACCCCCCTCACCAGGCAAAGCCAAAGATGCCCAGAGTACCAGCAGCAGCGGCCACCTCATCCCAAAGTGGAAGAGAATCTACTGTGTGCCCTCCCAATGGGGGGAATCTGAGAGAGTCTGGGGTGCACTGGAGAACAGCTAGGGGGAGCTCACCCTGCAGGAGAGAGCTAGAGGGTACGACCCTTTTCTCTGTTACTAATTTTATTATTACTATTTCAAGAATAAAAAGTGATCTGTAGTTTCTCTGGATAAATTCATTCTAACTTAAGTATGAAGAGCCTTGGTGATGAAGTGGTATAACGGTTAAAACTCTCAGCTGGTAACTGAAAGGGCAGTAGTTCAAAACCACAGGAAGAAAGAAGTGGCAGCTGGCTTCTGTAAAGATCTGTGGCTTTGGCGAGCTCTGGTGGCCTAGTGGCAAGAAGCTGCATTGCAATCCCAGAGGTACATGGTTTGAATCCACCAGATGCTCTGCTGGAGAAGGAGGGACCATCTCCTCCTATACCAGTCAGATCTGATTTGACAGTACACACACACAAAATAATAACCTTTAAAAGAAAAAAAAATATCTGTGGTCTTGGAAGCCCCACGGGGCACTGCTCCTCTGTGCTGAGGGTCCCCATAAGCGGGCCAGAACAGAAGTAGAAGCAAAGTTTGGTTTGGGTTTTGGTAAACTACTGAGTGTCAGAGTAGACTTGAGGGCCATGGTTTTCCTGGTTTGGGTAAAATTAAACTAGGGGGCAGGTCAGCTGGAAGGAGGGCTGCTTGTGGGGCCTGGGGGTGAGAACCTCACACCCAGGACAGGAAGTACAGGCCAGGTCCTCTGCAGCCCCAGGAGAGAGCCGTCAGCTCACCGGCCCTGCAGCTCCCGGTGCGCCAGCTCCAGCGCCCGCATGTTAGCCTTGAGGTCACGGTGCCGGACCAGCAGCCCCTCGAGCTCGGCCTCCTGCCGCCGCTGCAGCTGGGCCAGGGCCTCGTGGTCCCTCAGCAGGGCCTGCTGCTGCCCTCGAGTCTCCTCCTGGAAGCGCCGCGCTGCCTGCACCTCCTCCTCCAGAACTCCTAGCCTCTGGTGCAGCTCCTGGCCCTGCCGCTCCAGCATGGCCTTCTCAGCCTGGGGCACAAGGAAAGAAACCCCCGCTGGGGCCAGAAGGACTGGGCCAGGGGCAGAAAGCAAGAGGGCAAGGCCGAGCATGCGGAATGGAGTTTGGAGCTGGGCTGGGGGTACTGGGCAGGGAAAGGATGGGCCTAAGACAAAGAGGGCGCTCTGGTGACTTAGTGGTAAGGAACTGCACTGCCAACTCAAAGGTATACAGTTCAAATCCACCAGCTGTTCCATGGGAGAAAGATGGGCAATCTCCTCCCATGCGATTTACCGCCTCTGACAACCTGCTGGAGGATCAACTATGGGTCAACTCTGACTTGATGGTACACAACAACAAGAGTGACAAAGCGGGGGTACAGACGTGGGGCAGGGCAGAAAGGAGGTGGCAGGGAGAAAGATAATAGAACAGAGTAACTGAGATACTGCTGGCCACGATCAGGGAAAGGCATAAAATAATAACAACGGCAATAACTGTGCAGGACCTGTGCGGGGACGGGCCCTGCAGGACCTCGGCCACCCACCTGCAGGCGGCTGCTGTGCTCCTGTGCCCGCTGACTCTGCTGCAGCAGCTCCTGGGCCCGCCCCTGCATGTTCCCCAGCTGCCCCTCCAGATGCTGCAGCTGCCCCCGCAGAGCCTCCTTCTCGGCTGTCAGCGCCGCGTTCTGCCGGGAGGGCAGGGTCAGGGGGCCAGTGGCCAGGCAGCTGGCCAACACCCCCCTCCACAAGCCCACCCGGTTCACACTCACACTGCGCTCCACCTCAATGAGCCGGCTGCTCTGGGTGTCCAGGGTCCGAGGCTCAGCTTGCTCCTCTGGCCTCAGCCCCTTGGAGCTCTGACGAAGCTGCAAGGAGAGGCCTGGGGGCTCACCAGGAGAAGTGGTGGCAGGAATGGTGCAGGGACCGAAGCCAAGGGACCCCTGACCCGGAAGCACTGGGCACTGCTCTCCTGACTGCACCACGTGGCCCTCCTCAGTGACAGATGCCTTACACCTGACCCCAGGGGTCCCCCTACTTTCCAACTTCTCCAGGTTCTGCTGGCCACTTGTCTTGACCCAGGCTGTCTCCACTGTGGAGAACGTAGCTCCCACCCTCCTGTTCCCCTAGCAAACTTGTGTAGACACCACCTTCCCCAGCCAAGCCGCCCACACTAGGAGCCCCTCCGATGCGTCCCCCAAGCCTCACCGGCCGTCACAGCACTCAGCAGCCGGTGTTCTCCCAGCCTCCTTTCTTGCCTCTGTCCTAACTCAACTGTGTTAAGTGCTAAGTGAAAGCTCAGCCTCTCGGACCTACCAACTACTCAAAAGGTGTAAAGATGAGGCCATCTGCTCGCAGTGAGACGCCCAGCCTCAGAACCAACGCCACATCAGCGGGACCCTAACTCCACCTGAGCCCTGCACCGACGGCCTGTCTAGGCTGCACCACCAGCACCTCAGCCCCGGGTTCAGCACACACAGGTGATCCACAGATGCGTCCCGACTTCTGGTGACAGCGGCTGAGCCACTAACAAACGTGGGGCCAAGTAAGAGAAGCAGAGAGTCCCCAAAGAGCCCTCAGGGTTCCGTGTGTTTCATGAATAGGAGTGGGAGGAGCAAGGTCATACTGCACAGATGTGGGCAGCCCTGGGGGCAGCGTCTGGATGCCCAGCATCGTGCTCCCGCCAGCAAGCCCTGAACGGGGCAGGAGGCAAGCAGCTGGCCAGGGATCCAGGGGCAGGGGCAGGGGCAGGGCACAGGCCCACACATGGCCCCGATGGGCCAGCCTCACCTGGAACAGCTCCTCCTCCAGCTGCTGGGCCTTGGCCTTGAGTTCCAGCAGCGCCTCCTCCTTGCTGGTGGCTGCTGCCTGCAGCTCTGCTTCCAGCCGCTGCTCCAGGCCCTGGTACCTGCCAGGGGCAGCCTTGGTACCAACATCCCCGCTAAAAGCCCACCCCAGTCCCTGCCTGCCCTGCCTCCTGCTGATCCCCGCACCTCTGGTGTTGGCACTCCTGCTCCCGAAGCCACTCCTGCCGCTCCAGGGCTGCCTGGTCCAGCTCCCGCTGCAGGTTCTCCAGCCGGGCCCCCAGCTCCTGACCCCGTGCCACGGCCTTGTCCAGCTCCTGGGGCAGGCAGAGCAGGCTCAGGGCCAGAAGGGCCACTCAGCACCCAAAGGATAGGGGCAGACAGGGGCTGAGAGTCGGGAGTCTCGGATTTGTTATCTGGCCAAATGCTTTTATCCCTGAGCCTCTACTCTCCTATCTGTAAAATGGGAGTGAAGCCCAGCGGATGACCTCACAAAGCAGCATAAAAACGCTGAGGATGGTGCAGGGGCCCTTCGGTGGGATTCAGAGCCCTTGATGGCAAGCATCTCCACCTGTCTGAGCCTATGGTTCCTTGGACGCACGGAGACGGGTGGGTGTGTGCTGCGACGTGAGGCCATGAGGGCAGAAGGGGCCCAGGGAGACCAGACACGTTGGCCACGGAGAGCTGTGGGGTGGGGACCTGGGATGTCAGTTCTGGACACTCAGGAGGATGAGGACCAAGGCAGTGGCGGTTGGGTCACACCATCTTGGAAGAGGGGGACACACTCCTCTGGGGGCCTGAGGAGGTGGGCCAGACCATTCTGAAGTGGGGGAGCCGAGCCAATAGAGGAAGCCTTAGGAGGTGCAGACTCTGACCTGTCATCAGCCCCTCCCAACCCAGGAAACTAGGCCCACAAATGTCCCGCTGAAAACCCAACCTGCTTTCGCAATCCCACCTCTAGGCCTCATGAGGCCTCAAACATCCCAACACCCTCAGCCGCAGCCCTCTGGGAAAGCCTACGTACAAGTCCCATGAGTCACCGCTACTCAGAGCGTGACACCAGACAGGAGTTGGGGACAGGACAGCGCAGATGAAGACTGGGCCCTGCCTGCCTCCACCAGCCTGGCCACGACCCTCACACCCCCTCTACGGCACTACCTGTCCTCTACCCAGCCCCAGGCTTCAGTGCTCACCTGGACACCCCCCGCCCAGGGCCCCCAAGCCCTCATCCACCGCCTCCTCCACTCCAACCTCACCAGGAAGTTTCACAAAATGTCCTGTGATCCCCAACCTCTCCCACCCTCCAGGTGCTCAGAGCCAACAGCCAGCCCTACCCAGGACCCAGCACCGCCACCTGCTGGCGCTGCCTCCCTACCCCGGCCAGTCCTCTCCCTTCTCCCAGAGGAAGTCAGCCTGTGCTGAGAGGGTCCCAGGGGTGTCCCAAGCTCCCACCATTTATCATCTTATGGGATCCTGTGAAGCATGGACTATTTTTAGACCAGTTTTACAGGTGAGGAATCTGAGACTCAGAGAGGTTAACTAACTTGCCCCCAGTCACACAAGGGTTCTAGTAACTCAGCTCACCCTGACAGCATCTCTGGTCATGCCCTACAGGGTGGACCCCAGAGTCAAGTTCTTGACCTTGTCCTCCCAGCAGCACCTTCAAGTTCTCACGTTCCCCTTCCCTAAACCCCAGGCTTGCTCTGCAGACAGATTCAAACCCTGGGTCAACCCAACAGTGAAATGGAGTGAAGCCTGAGTCTCCTCCACCTCCCCTCTCCACACACAGCCAGGCCTGGTCGACTTTTAGACCTTCAGTGTCTGCTCTCGGCCTCCTCATAGAAATGTCTCAAATGTCTCCTTAGTTTGGAAGGAAGCTGACAGAGACCCAACTCAATTCTCAGCCTCCCCTTTCTCATACCCCACCTGACTCATCACAAGATTCACTCAGGCCTCTCCCTGGGGGGAAAAAGCCACCTCCTCCAGGAAGCCTTCTCTGGCAAGCCTCCTGGGCTCTCTGCACTGTCCCATCCCCACCCTAGACTTCTTTCTGAAGCTACCATCCCCAACAGGGGCAGAGCCCTCAGTAAGCGGGGAAAACTCGGGCTTATTTGTGCTTATCGACTGATCTCTTGTACACATTTCACATGGTTTTCACCACCGGCTCATTAGGTAACAGCCCAAGACCTGACACTTCCTGAGCACTACCAGCCCGCCTCTGCTGGCACTCGATGCCACTACAACCCTGGCCTTCCCAAACCCACCAAGGAAGCAACAGAGAGTCACCCCTGCCTGATCGGAAGAGGAAGTGAGGTGAGGGTAACTGCCCTCAGTCACAGCCTGGTGGCCTGGCTCAGAGCCCCAGTTCTCAACCCCTCCAAGCCACATGTGAAATCAGACACAGGGACCATGCACTCTGTGACCCAGGCCAGACACACACTTAGAGGGCAGAGGTGGGTTTGTACCCCCAGTCCCAACACAGCTCTGGCATTTAGTGATCGCTGGTGGACTTCAAAGGAGCCCTCGGGGTGTCACGGTTAAAATCATTTTGTTGCTAACCGAAAGGTGAGCAGATTGACAGTCACCCTGTGGGAGTAAGATGAGGCAGTTTGCTTCTGTAAAGACTTGATGTCTTGGAAACCTCACGGGGCAGTTCTAGTCTCCACACAAGGACACTATGAGGTGGAACCTCCTGGCTCCGCCCTGGACACCCACCGTACCTCCTTGAGGGCCAGCTTCTCCCGCTGCTCCCTCTCGGCCAGCTCCAGGTGTCCCCGGCCCTCGCTCTCCATTGCCTGGAGCCGCTCCTCTGCCGCCTCGGCCCGTGCCCGCAGCCGGGGTCCCTCGCGCTCCCACTGTCTCCGCTCCCGGCCAGCTGCCCCCAGAGCCTCGGTCAGCGCCTCTCGCTCCCGTGCCGCAGCCTCCAGCTCCCGGTTGGCCACCTGCACGGCTTCCCGCAGCCGGGCCTGCTCCTGGGCCTGGGCCTCGACCTCCCGATGGGCCTCGGCCTCCGCCTGGCGCACCTCGGCCAGCTCCTCGGCCAGGCGAGCAACCTCCATGACCCGGGCCTCCAGCCTCCGGGCCTGGGCCTCCAGCTCAGCTCTGAGCATCTCAGCCTCTCTCTTCAGCCGGGCCACCTCATCCCTCAGGATCACCTGCTCTTGGTCACCACTCGCCAGGCTCCCCTCTGGGATGGGCCCCTCCTGGGCTTGAGGGTCAGGAGCCCCTTCCAGCCTTTGCAGTGGTTTGGGTTGGGCTGGTTCCCCGACTGCCTCCTCCACTCTCTGCCTGAGGTCTCTGGCCACTGTCTTTCTGAGCAGGTCCAGCTTCTGGCCTGGGGTCTCCTGCTCCCCCAAATCTACACTCGGGCTGACATTCAAAAGTTCTGGCTTGAGACCAGGGTCCTCCTGTGTCAGCCGCTGGGGCTCAGGCGTCCACTGCCCCAGAGAGGCCACCCTTTCCTCAGTCTCCCCTTCCAGCAACACAGGGACCTGGATTTTGATCTCTGGACTCTGGGGTGGGGCCCCCACAGGGGCAGGGGTCTGGAGAGAGGTGTCATGGCCAGCCTTTTCCAGGGGCCCGTGTATCTCCACCAAAGGGCCTGAATCCTGAGAGGTGGAGTCTGAGGTCCCAAGGGCTGTGGCTGCTGTGCAGAGGGGCCTCTCCATGGCCGGGGGGCCCATCTCAGAGGCTTGGGGCTGCTCATCTGAGCTCTGCAGCGCTGAGTCTGGTGTACAAGTGGTGAGGCCCAAATCCTGGGGGTCTTCACCCCTTGCCTGGTGTTCCCAGGTTTGGGAGACCTGGTCTTCTGTTACGGATGACTGGGATGACTGTGGAGGCTCCCTGAGCCCAGGAACTAAGAAGTCCTCACTGCGGTCCTCCAGTAGGGGGGGCTGGGGACACACAAAAGACAGTCAGGCTTGAGGGCGAGTGAGAGGGGGCGGGACCTCAGCAGACAGTAGGTTGGGAGCTCACCTGTTGCCCTGAGGGCCCCTGCAGCACCTGAAGCAGGCTGCGAAGCTCCCGATTCTCCAGCTCCAGTGTCTGGAGCCGCCCAACCTCGGCCTCCCTTACCTCCTCGTGCAGGGAAGGGGCTGCTCCTGGCAGGGGTGCTGGGGGCCAGGGTATGAAAATTAGGTCACTCCTTAACCTCTCTCTCACATATTCCCATCCCAAGAAGTAGGAAGGGGGTGAAGTCAGAGCCCTCCATCTGTCACAGGAGAACACAGCACCCAGCCTGCGCCCTGGGGGCCCTCACCCTCCTCAGGAGAGCAGGGGGCTGGCTCCAGGCTGCGACGAAGCTCCAACTCTAGCTCCACGTTCTCCTCTGACAGCTGGTCCACCTGCTGCCGAAGGGACTCCAGCTCCTGGGGGCAGGGGTTCAATATCAGCCTGTCCTCCCCTCCTGGCCAGGCAAGTGTGTGGACCCAGAGCTGGGGGGTGGTGCCCCACGATCGTGGGTCACCAAAACCACCTCACCGCATGGGCCTCGCCCAGCCGGGTCCGCAGCAGCAGGTTCTCACGCTGGCTCTCATGCAGCCGAGCACAGCGCTCGCGGGCGGCCTCCAGCTGCCCCTCTAGCAGCGCCTTGGAGGCTTCTAGGGTCCCCGAGAGTGCCCGCTCCTCCTGCGGGGAGAGCTGACGGGTCAGGTGCAAGGAGGCCCCACGGTTCCTAAGTCCAGGGTCCCATATCAATTCCCTGGGGCTCCACTCCTCCATTTGACTCAGATCCCTCTAACTCCTTTGGTACATCTCCTTTCATTCTCTCTGCTTCCTCCTTTATCCATCAACCCCACTTTCCAATCACTAGTCCCGCCCTCTTACTCCACAGGCCCCGCCCCTTTCCTATACAAGCTCCTCCCTCTCCCCACAGACCCCTCCCTCTATCCCACACATGCACTGCCTTCTTCCTCCACATGCCCCGCCCTCTTCCTATGCAGGCCCCACCCTTTTCTTACACAAGCTCCACCCTCTTCCCCACATACACCACCCTCTTCCTGCACAGACCCTGCCCTTTCCCCACAAGCTCCTCCCTCTTCCCATAGACCTCTCCCTCTTCCCCATAGACCCCTCCCTCTTCCCACATGCCCCGCCTTTTTCTTCACAAGCCCCGCCCCTTCCCACACAGGCCCCGCCCTTTACCTAAACAAGCGCCTCCCTCTTCCCCATATGCCCCGCCTTCTTCCTACATATGCCCCACCCTCTTCCTACACAGGCCCTGCCCTTTTCCTCTAAAGGCCCATCCTTTTTCTCTACATGCTCTCCCCTTTATTCCTCTGTACACCAGGACCACTTTTCAAGGCCCCTCCCAGGGCACACGACCCCATATGCTTTCCTATCCCACCCCTGCCCTCCTCCACCCCCACCTCTCCTAATTACCCCCCCAAGACCCTTCCCTAGATTCCCACCTCCCACTTCGCCCTCACCATTACTCCACCAGGCCCACCTGTTCCATAAGGCCTGATGAGACCCTCTCCTCTGCCCGCAAGCTCCCTTCTCAGGACCCGCCCCCTCCCTCTGGCTCCGCCCCGGCCACACCCCTGCCGTGCCCCGCCCCTCACCTCCAGCTGGCCTTTGCAGGTCTCCGCCGCCTGCAGACGCTCCCGGCAGCGCCGCAGCTCCTCCTGCAGGCGGGGTAGGCGGCCAGCCCGCTCCCGCATCACCTCAGCCTCCTCGCGGTACAACTCGGCCCGCTTGGCCTGCCCGGACAGCGCCTGGGTCTGGACAGACAGTGCGGGGCTGGGAACTGCCGGCCATGAGCAGAGCACAAGGACGGCTATGGGGCGGGCGGGCATGGGGAGGAAAGGGACAATGGCAGGGAGGGAGCAGAGAGGGCACCTCCTGACGGAGCCTTCTAATCTCAGTCTCGAGGCCCTGCACCTCGGCCTGGGAGTCCAGCAGCAACTCAGCCTTCTCCTCCCTGGAGGAAAGGGGAGCTGGAGGAGTGTAGAGGCGGCAGCCCACCCTTGTCCACCTTCCTAGGCCTAACCCTGCCGGCAGCCACCCAGGCTCGACCCCCATCTGGACTAATTGGCCCCTGACGCAGGTCCCCATCCTGGCTTAAATGGGTAACACTCACAGCTCCTGCCGCAGCCTCCGCAGCTGGGCCTTAGCATTGGCCAGCTGGAGGGCCAGGTGGTGCGAGGGCCCCTCCGTGAGAGCCTGGGTGGGAGTTACCTGCAGGGCAGGGGCTGGCTCCCTTTCCAGCAGCACTTCAGCCAGCCGCTGTACAATGAATGGTCAAAGTCAGGAGAGAAACCCCCATACCTTTCCCAGCCTCCATGGGATGAACATAGCTAACACACCCCAAGATGCCAGACCTCCCCACGTCTGGGCTTCAAATCTGGGTCTCCAGTCCTCTTCCTGTTCCTTCACAAGTCTGCCACCCTCTACCTGTGCACCCAAGTCCCGCTCCCGGGCCAGCCTCGACAACATCCCCATCAGACTCCAGGACAGCAGCTCCAGTTCAGGGGGCGTCAGCTCCCCAGATTCAGGCCTGGCTAGGGCCAGCACCACACCTGCCCCGGGCTGGGTCACCTGGCGTGAGGGGGAGAATGTAGCTCAGCAGGAGAAGGTGGAGCCTGGGTGTCCCGTCCCAGGCTTTCCTCACACCCAGTACCTCCTGGATAGTGGCGGCCAGCTCGCTCTGGACCTCAAGGCTGAAGCCCTGGATGTGTCGGATGAAGAGTTCCCTGTGCTCACACTGCAGGAGACCAGAGAACATGGTTCAGGAGTGTCCCATCTCCTGAGGCCCACCCAGCCGGACCCCTGCCCTCCCCCTGCTTACCTGCACAGATGCCCCCAGCATCAGTTTCAGGACCCCCTCCAGCTCCTCCACTGCCTCCTCTGCAGATATAAGCCACAAGGTTAAAGGGGGGGGGCCAGGTATGGGGAGTAGGGGTACTAGGGAGAATACCTGAGAGAGGGTCAAACCCCAGCGTCTGGAGGTCTGGGGGTGGTGACAGGACCAGCAGCTGGAGCTCCTCCTGGTGGTGGAAAGGCAGATATGAGGGGTCCCGTCTGTCCACTGCAGGTGCCCCTTCATAGCCTTCCCCCGCCGGCTCACCTGGTAAAAGTCCCTGAGTCGACCCCACAGTTGGCTCAAGTTCCGGACTCGCCTGGCTGCAAGACCCTTAGGGCCCCCAACCGTCCAAGGTCCCCCTCTAGAACTGGGGGCACTGTTGGCACAGGGAAAGGTTGGTCAAGACCTGTCCCTGTCCACCAAGCCCTGCCCACCGTCCACCTATGCCCCACCATCCCTCACGTGCCCCTGACCCCCCCGTACATGATTCCCAGCACACGGAGAAGCAGGGCCCCATCGCTGAGATGCAGGAACCTCTTCTCTGGGGTAGAGAACCCCTCCTCCTCTTCTTCCTCCTCATCCTCTTGGTTCTGTGGTCCCTCAGACTCCCCCACCAGTCCAGCTAGCCCCAAGGCCTGTGGGGAGCAGAGTGGATTCAGCTGAACCAGGTGGGGAACCCCCCAGCAGCAAGTAAGTCCCTACCACTCTAACCTGCTTCGATGAGCCCCTTAAGTCCCCACCAGTTCCTAGTGCTTTCCCCCACCCTACTCTGGGCATCTTTCTATTCACTATAGCCCTCCAGGCCCCCTCTCCACTCCTACATAGCCCACCACTCCCCCCTGACTCCCCCCAGCCCAGCCCACCAGCCCCGGCCAAGGCTCACTTCCCTTCCAGCTCGGCTCACACCTGCCCCTCACCCAGGTGGCCAGGCTTCCACTCAGGAAATCAGTAAGTCTGGACCCCGAGCCCCCCTCCATGCCAGACTCAGGGTGTCGGCAGCTGTGGCAGCTACACCTGCCCTGAGAGGAAGAGGAAGTCCCCGGATGGGGGATCCCAGCCAGGCCACAGACACCCTGTGCAGCTTCCTCCTTCCGGGGCAGGCGGGCCTCTGCACCCTGGAGTCCTTTCTCGGCCCCCACATCCTTACCCGAGTCAGGCAAGGCCTGCCCTGATCACCCCGGATTGTCTCTGCTCTCCCCGTAGGAAAGCCCGGTCCAGCACTGCACCCTCCATCTCCATGGGGCCAGGCAGAGTCATAGAAGACGGGGTAGGGCCAAGAGCAAGGCCTACAGCTCCCCAACTCTGTGCACAAGGAGGGTGAGTTCTTCAGTCTCCTGCTCTCCTGCTCAAAGTTGAGGTAAACTTGTCCCAGTACTCCAGAGCCCCTAAAGGGACCTTTGCATGATGAGTGTGGCAGCCAGGAAGGAACACCCAGCATCCTTGGGTACACCAGGCTCTCCTTTCCCTCGGGGTTAAACTTGTCTAACTCCCCCCTTCACTCAGAAGGCCACCCCTATTTAGATGCCACCTCCCCAACAAGATTCCTTTGAATCCGAACCCAAAGTGAGAACACCTCCAGGGTGTAAACACACTGAGTGGACCTTGACTTCCCTCGACAGGACAAGCAGATGGACTCCATCATGGTACAGCGGCAGCATGAGGCTGGAAGATAGAGGCTGGAGGACCCCCAGATCCCCCACTGCTCCCTGCCAAGCCTCAGGAAGGTGGGGGACACTCCCTTATACACTATGCCGGGTCTGGGATAAGATGAAGACTCACACCCCCCTGTCTCTATTCACAGTACCCCTGGGGAGACAGCTACCAGGACCCCCCCCACCCAGGGCAGGCCCTCGTGGCCACGCCAAGTACTATGATAATTTATGCATTGAACAGCATCTTCCAAAATGAGTTAGACTTGAGATGTCATCTCATTTGGGACCAGTGCTTTCTTTGTCATGTTAATGAGCCTTATGGGTGAGGGTATATCAGAAGCTAATCACAGCTGAGATATAAAAAGAACAGCTTGCACACACACACACACACACACACACACAAGCTAGTGCAAGAAGAAAAGAGACGAGGAGATTGACAAGGAGCCCGGGGCTAGAGAGGCCCAGACAAGGGTTATCCTCAGAGTCCACAGACAGCCTGCCCCAACCACACCCTGAGCACAGACTTCTAGCCTCAACTGTGAGAAAATCACACTGGACTCATTAAAGCCACCCACTTGGGGTATTTCTGTTATAGCAGCTGCTGTCCTTGCTGTGTACCTTTGAGTTGGAACTAACCCATAGCTGACCCTCTGGTAGGTTTTCAGAGTCAGTTCATCACATGGGGGGAGACTGCCCATTCTTCTGCGGAGCAGCTGGTGGCCTCAAACCACGGGCCTTCGGGATTGCAGCACAGCTTCTTGCCAATGTTGTTGTTGTTATTGTTATGTGCCTTTGAGTTGCCTGTGATGAGGGACCCTATGTACAACAGCCTTAAACCCTGCTCTATCCTGTGCTAATCTTATTGTCTCTGACACACCTACCTCCATTACCCCAATCACAGCAGTCCATCTCATTGAGGGTCTTCCTCTCCTGTGCTGTCCCTCCCCTCTCCCAAATGTGATGTTCCTTTCCAAGGACTGGTCCCTCCTTGCAACATGCCCAAAGTATTTCAGACAAAGCTTCAGAATCCTTGACTCCAAGGAGCATTCTGGCTTCACCCTCTCCAGGACAAACCTGTTTGTTCTCCTAGCAGTCCATGGTATATTGAACACTCTTCTCCAGCACCACAGCTCAAAGGCATCAATTCTCCTTCTCTCATTCCTAGTCACTATCCAGCTCTCCAATGCATAGCATGCAATTGAGAAGATTGTAGCCCGGATCAGGCGCACCTTAGTCTCCAGTTTGACATCTTTGCTCTTCAGTACTCTTGAGAGGTCCCTCACAGCTGACTTTCCCAATGAAATTCGTCTCTTGATTTCCTGGCTGCTGTTTCCAAGAGTGTTGACTGTGGAGCCAAGTAAACAAAAACTGTTATCTCAGTCTCTTCACCATTCAAACTGAGGCTGCCAATTGGCCCAGTGGTGAGAATCTTTGTTTTCTTGATGTTGAGCTTCTTGTATTGAAGGTTGCAGTCCTTGACCTTCTGCAGCAAGCGCTTCATGTCCTCCTCAGTTTCAGCAAGCAGGGTTGTGTCATCTGCATAACATAAGTCTTGCCACTAGGCACTAAAATGTCCACAAGACCAACTCAGATGCATCGCCTTTCAGAATGTAGCAGCTCAGAGTAGAACTGCCCCCCCTCCCAAATTTCTACAGCTATAAATTGTTCTGAAAGCTAACTGTATTCTCTTTCTCCAATGGAGCCCTGGTGGGTTTGAACAGCCAACCTTCTAATTAACAGCTGAATGCTGAAACCTTATACTACTAGGGTTCCCAAGAAACTAAGGATGACAGAAGAATTGATGCCTTTGAGTTGTGGTGTTGGAGAAGAGTACTGAATCACTCATGAACTGTCAAAAGAACAGATGGATACGTCTCACAGAAAGTGCGGCTGCAGTGATCGGTGGAGGCAAAGATGACAAAGCTTCGTCTCATATACTTGCGGCATGTTGCTAGGAGAGGCTATTCCTTGGAGAGGGACATCTTGGCTGGGAAGGTGGAGGGTCAGTGAAAAGAGAGAAAGATCCTCAACCAGGTAGATTGACAGTGACTGCAGCAGTGGACCCACGTGTGTCAGAGACGATGAGGATGTCACAGGAGAGGGGTCACAGGAGAGGGCAGGGGTCAGATCTGTTGTTCACAGGGTTACTATGGGTCAGACAGTGGCATCTAACAACAACAAGAAGAAACTAAAGTGGAGGGAGCTGACCTTCATCGGTGGGTCAGGGAAGACACCTCAGAGGAGGCGTGCACATAGAATTGAGATGGACATGACTAGGGAATGGCGCAAAGGGACAGGGCAGGAGGGGACCTTCTAGGCAGTGGGAACAGAATGTGCTAAGCAGCAGGTGGCTGCATGGCAGGTACAAAGTCAGGAATTGTTGATGCTTCATTGATTCCAAGACACTCTCTTCTCCACGTCAGCCCCTCCCAGATCAGCTCCCATCACTCTCCTGCTGCCAGTCTGTGATCCTAAGATAGTTGTCGTGTTCTGCATAGTCGCACACTTCCAAGTCCCGGCCTCAAACCCTATAGAAAGGATGCCAGTGGTCAGGAACACAATCCCAGAGGTGAGAGTGCAGCTTCCTTTAAGCCTGGGTCCCCCAAAGGCAGAAGGCCCCACAGAGCACACCAGGCAGACCCCTTAGAAATGCTGTCAAAGTAAAAGTCAAAACCTGGCTGGCCCTGAGCAAACACAGAGCTGCCTGAGGCTCCGCCGGTGTTCCTGGGGCTGCCCTGTCACTCACAAGGGCCGTGGGTGTCTCCAGAGGAGGGGACAGGGACACACAGGCTTCGCAGCGCAGCTCCCAGGAATGAAGTGGCATTCATGGGTGCTGGCCTGTTAAATGCGAAGGCGTCTTTGGACTCATTCATTTCGCTTATAATGTCCTTTTTATGCCTGTATCAGAATTATTCATTGATAAGATGAATAAGGAAGAACAAAGAAGAATTGATGTCAGCGAACTGAATTATGATGTTGTTGAAGAATATCGAACATAACAGGGACTGGCAGCACGAACAAATCTGTCTCAGATGAACCACATCCATTGTGCCCCTTCAAAGCAAAGATGGAGAGGCGACATCTATATGGTTTTGGACATGTGGTCGGGACACAGCAGCCACTAGAGAAGGCCGTCACACTTGGTGAAGAAGAGGATGAGCAAAAAGGAAGAAGAGCCAGTGAGACGGCCTGACACACATCCTCCAGGATGCGGGGACAGCCGCAATGGGCTCACACCTAACAGTGACTGTGACAAAGGCACCAGACAAGCTGGAGCTTTGTTCTGCGGTCTGTGGAGATGCTGTGAGTTGACAGCATCTGACAACATTGGAACTACAGATGATGAACACTTAATGTCTGCACCAAATATAGCTCCTTCTGGCAGCAGAGAATGCTGAGTGTCCCGCAGACTGCCAAAGAACCAACATACCCATCCTGAAGAAAGTGCAGCCAGAGTGCTCCTTGGAGGCAAGGATGGTGAAGCTTCATCTCACATACTCCGTGCATGTTGTTGTTGTTGTTAACTGCCATCTAGTTGTAGACGACTCATAGCAACCCTATGAATGAAAGACCTGAGCACTGTTCATAGAGTCAAGCTATTTCGGAAGTGGATGCCACTTCTGCTTCCAAGCTTGTTTTAATCAGGGAGCTCCACCAAACACTGTCCGCCATGGGTGACCATTCTCACATTTGACACGTCAGTGTCACAGTGTTCAGCATCACAGCAACCACGAGTCACCTCTGCACAGCAATGCACAGACCAGGGCTATACCATGTAGAAGAATGCTTGACCAAAAAAACAGTTTGAATCCGGTTTGCGGACCACAGATTAAAATCACCCACCTTGGGCTTGGTAGCATAGCTCTCTGTCATTAGGAGAGGCTATTCCTGGGAAAGGGACATGATGCTGGGAAGGGCGGAGGGTCAGGGAAAGAGAGGAAGCCCTTCAACCAGGTGGAGAGACACAGTGGCTGCAGTTATGGACCCGGATAGGACAGGGGTCAAGTCTCCTGTTTGTCAGGGTCACTTTGATTCATACTGGACTCAAGGACACCTGAAAACACCATGATAACAATCAGTGAAGGAGCCATGAGGCATGGCGACCAGGCAGTCTGTCTTTTTCTCTTCAAGGCAGTTTGCCAATTTATGACATCTGAGGTTTTATGAAATATGGCTTCATTACCTAGTGCTGCTGTAACCAAGACACCACAAGTAAGTGGCTTTAGCAAATGGAAATTTCTTCTCTTACAATTTAAGAGACTAGAGGCCCAAACCCAGGGCATCAGCTCTTTGGAGATACTCGTGCCTCTTGGTCTTCCCAGTGTCAGGGAGCT